GGCACCGCTCCCCGGCAGCCCATCACACAGTCCAGGAGATTGGAAAGTGGAGTCCCCCCCCCCCCCAAAAAAAAACCAGACAAAGGGCATCATTAAACAGCCACTCTAGACTGCTCACACTTTGTTTCTAAAGTGGAATTTGATCTTTGGCTCCCTTTTAAACCCAAATGTCTTAGAAGAAGGGGGAGTCTCTGGCCTTGTTTGATTGAAAGCCAATTGTCTTTGCCTTTAGTCTCTGGCACAAGTCCACAATGCACTAACTTTTGAGAAAATAAGCTCTTTGATCAGCAGCAGTTCCTTCTCAATGTCTCCAGTATCTAATCCGTTTTCTGTAGTACATCCTCATTAGAGCGGCGACGCTTTAGCATATGGTGTCTTAATTGATGACACGGGCTTGTGCTGCTTCTTATTGTGCACTGTATTGTGTGCGCTTTAGACACAAGGGGTCAAATTGCGGTGCAAAGTGAGTCATAAGCTAATTTATATGAAATCAATATTTCAGCTTACAAAACAATGCTTTGTCAATCGCAGACGATCCTTTTAAAAGGCTACGTATTCGCAGCTGCTGCACCTCGCCAACTAAACCCATTTGTGTTTTCAATCCGTGCCTTTAAAACACACGTTTAGCGGTCGCATCCTACCTGGGCCGTCCTCATGTCACGTCCCCAACTAATCGATTACCGTGTCAAAACCAATCCAGGAAAATCAGCGCTACAGAGCCCAGAGGGTGTTTCATTTTCATTTTATTGACGTCTAAAAACGCGAAGGCCCAGTGGTGGTGCCGGAACACGCATGATTCGATTTAGCTATTGTCAGCCAAGACCTACTTCCAGCTTCATGTGCTATTGTCGTGGTGTTTGGTCCCTGTCACGTGAAAGCCTTCTACTCTAGCTCCAAAATGCCACTCTTTGGAAAAATAAAAGCCTTTTGTGTTTCTTACATAAAAGCCAACACAGTTCTGAAAGGACACAGTGGGCAAAGTAAACAAGTATGCATTCTCAAGTACTGTAGTTAAGTACAGGCACTCTACTGCATGACATTTCAAAGGGAGACATTGAACCTATTAGTCTCAGACAAAGAATTAAGAGATTGTATCTGTGCAAAGTCCAAAACGCATTGTTATATATTTTCACGGTGTCGCTGACTTTCTATTTCAAAAGTGCCGAACAATTATATTTTATTATTCATTAGCCAGATATAAAGTTAGGAGCCAATGATTTTCTCAAAATAAAAAAAGCAAAGATTTAATCAGGAAGCAAAGAGGTGTGGGGGGGGGGATAAATGTTATACAGTCAAACAAACAGGTGATGGGATGATTAATTATTCAGCCATGGTAGATTGCTGAGATAATGGCTCCTGCGCCCTGATGAATTTAGCTAAAGGGAAACACATTGGATCCCATTTGGGTTCACTGTCTGAGGTATGATTCAGCTCTCTGGTGTCACTTTAGTGCATCACGCCAGTTAATTGCTTTCACCCAAAGACATATTTGTACAAATTAGACCGCCCGGCTTTACTGAGAAGATGAATTGAGCATGTAGCTCCTTGATTATGGAAAGGTGATGTATTGTGATGTGATTTGAAAAGCCTACATAGGAGGACAAAGAGGATTTGCTCACTCAATTAGAAAAACTTTGGTCCACGGCCTCGAAGAAAACAGCCTTTACGTTTACATCCCTTCACAATACGTTTGGAGAATCAATTAAAGAGATCGGTTGGAATAGATGTTGCCAGTTCAAAGAAAGAAACAACAAAAGCGGTCCTCTCTGTCTACCTTCTCCCAGGTCGCCTCCACTCAAGATGTAATAAGACACAAACAAATGAGCTTTCACCAAATAAATGTTGTCTTTCAATGTTGAACACATTATCCGTATGAATGCACCTTTTTGTTAAAGTTACCGTTAGATTCCTTCATGCAGATACTGGAAACAACGATACTGAATATAAAGTCCATATGAACACAAACAGGAAGTCACCCTGTCAGGGTTGATTAAGGCAAAGACAGATCCACCCTAGCAGAAAATACTAACGTCACCAGTTGTTTTAGCATGCAAACATTGACTCGATGGCACAAAACACATCACGCACCGTTGGGGCTCACATGTTGGCTGCCTTTTTGAATCGATGATGGATCATCAAGGCGATTCGAGTTCATTCCTCTGGGAACCACGAGTGCTTTGACGAAATGCAATGTGACCACCTTACGGCGTATTGGTAGAGATGCGTGCGGCAAGCTTGCACAAAACGCCGGTGAAGCAGCTTCACCGAAGACACGTCCAAAAAAAGTTTCAGGGATGTGCCGTCGCAAAGAGCTTAGCGGGTCGGGCATCTTGAGATGCGTGTCAGAATGCGAAGAGAAGAGGACAAAAATCCATTTCGATTACAGTCTCAAAATGGAACATCCAGGCAGAGGATAATCTCAAGCACCTTTTCTTCCACGGCTGCGGACCCTGATCATACGGACCCGCGCGTGATTACAGGAAGCTCAATTAACGTAGGCCCGGGGGGACAGTTCAATCTCAGAGACAAACATTCCCCCAGCATAGATTACGTGACCTGCAACCAATGGTCTATCTTAGCTCCCTTGATTGAGTTCAACAGGTTTGCGATGGTGGGCCCTGCAGACGCCCACTGGAAACTCGCAACCTGGAAATAAAAGAAAGCTACATTGTACATGTACTTGCACATGTCTCATATAGGTTCTCATATCCATCCTCTGCTGTCATGCAAAGTTAAATATGCACGTGCTTGCAGTGAAAAAAGGATGAATAGTCTCCACACGCCGTGCATCCCAAATCGGATTGATACAAGTCCTTTTGGCAGATCACACAGGGGTCTCGTGCATTTACTCCCTTTGCACTTCTCAGCGCTACAATCCGCACATTTTACAGCAGAGATATCTCATTTAAAATGGAACCGTAATTGAATCCGAGATCACACGCTCACAGATACGGTGCCTGTTCCCTTGACAGAGGCATATCAGGAGCATCCTGACGTTTCAAAGTGGCTTTCATGCGATTTCACGAAAATACGGCTAATACGGTGTGCTTAGGCAGATCACAATGGGCATAATCCTGTGTTTGGAGGACTACCTCCCAGTGGCGCGCAAATAATAAAGAACCCTCTGTCTCCGACAGATGAAATGCTTCAGTCGTTCTGATTTGTTGTGACTGAGACTGAACAGTAAAAAAAAAAAAAGAAAAAGAAAGAAAATGTGACAACCACAAAAAGACGTCTTTGCCCCTGCGTGTGCATCGTTCGTGGGCAGCAGGAGAAAACATAAACTGAAGCTGTAGAGGAGGCAGACTTGCATCTTGAAATAGAAATGTTGCAGACAGTGTCTTGATTTAATAAAAAAAAATGCTCCACCTTTATGTGGAGAAGGAAACAGAAGCTTTATTTAATCCTTCTGTGCCTGGCTAATGCCACATTTGAATAAACATTTGTTCACGTGATATAGTATCCGATGCACTGTTGCCATTGGTAACTTATTTTGTACTATCACTTGCTGTCCAATAAATCAAATATTAAATCACGACAGTCACATTTGAAGCTCTGCTTTACAAAATGTAATTCAGAGCCGACTGGCACATTGCTTGAGCTTTTTACAGCTTCTCCCCTCCTGGGAAAGAAAAGACAGCCTTTTCAAAATCAATAGCTATCTAAAGGGGGCGAATCTCACAACATCAATCTTCTGGCACCGGCAGTGATACTCGGGGAAATTAATCTATGCTTTAAACCGAAGAAATGTGCCAATTGATCTTTAATTTTCTAATGGAAGATACTCACAGCTAGGCCAAGTTACACCGGCTCAGAGCTTATTCAATACAAGTCTAATGAGGTCTATTATGAGTCCTTTTGAAGCATCCGAGTGTGCAGGAAGAGGGCCCGTGAAGTGGAGGGCACGAGTCATTATGCCCCGACGTTTGGCAAAATGTACAATTGCAAAGGGAAGATCATTTCAAGATGAATAGCTCAGCTGGTCCCCATGGTGATTATTTGTCCCTAAAATAAAAAGCACTCAGGCTTAAAGATCACCACGTGGCCCGTGGCAGTTGATGAACTTCAGATGAACTTCATCGTGGCGCTTGAAGTTCTTGACGATTTAGCGATTGTTTCACTCGTTCATAATATCTGAAAAGCCACCGATTGGGGCAATCAAGGCCGCAGAGGGCCTCACACACACAAGAGAAGACACGCGGGTCACTCTGCATTTGTGCAAGCTTTCATCAAACAGGTGAATCCACCGTGGCACCCACGCAGCGAGAGCCTGAACAAAAACACTACAGAGGAGAAATCAGTCGAGCCTGTCGCGTTGACCTACTTGACAGTGGCGTGTGAGCTGAGCGGTGAGAGCATGAGAAGTCAGTGTCTGTCGTTTTCTTCCTCGCTGTCTCCTCTTCCCCTTTTCCTCTTTGTTTTTTCCCCGTTTCATGTCTTGCTGCTTTTTTGTAAATCACAACATGTACCGGAGGAATAGAGACTATAAGCGCAGGATAAATTCCTTACATAAAGGAGAAAGAGACGTTTTCACTCTCTATGTGAAAATCAATTCTATGGGTCTAAATACGTATCACAGATCGTAGTGTATTTAGAAACTAATTAGAAGCTCTTTGAAGAAAAAAATCCCAGAAATCTCTGACATGAATGAAAGAAAGAAAAAGTAGCCAAGGGCACCACTGAAAGCACGATGATAAACACCAGGTTGAGCCGTTTTTTACACCTCTGCCATCTTATTTAAAATTCCAATAGTAAATACACAACTCATGTTGATTTCAGCGCATTTTAAAGGTAGTTAAAGCTCAACTGGTATGGTGTCGCCGTTTAAGTAAGAGAGATACACTCACTTGAAGTAGATCTACAGTAATACTGGAAATATCCTGACAGAAATAATTGCTCATAAGCCCATGCTGTCACTCATTGTATGGTTGCCAGGGGTAACTGTTGGTTGGACTAGAAATCCTGTAAAATAGAATTTCAGCTGAACATGTGTGTGTTGCTATACCTGGATGCCTTAAAACGTATGTGTGTGTGTGTGTGTGTGTGTGACACAGTTATGCAGAGGGGTCTGCTGAGGCCACAGGAGGAGATATGAACCCCACAGCTCGTTTGCATCACATGCTAGTTGAGGACAACTTTTACACAACACCAAAGATTTGTTTGCAGCCAACTTGCTCAATGGTTGCCGTTCATTCCGCAATCAAGCCTGGTTTTGATACCACTTCCCACCCGCTCCCATTTCCTTTAGGCTTCACAAGGTCGATCAAGTCCTGGCTGCAGAGCCTTGATATATTCGTAGAACTTTGTCTGGGAAAGGAAAGCAAATCAGTGGGTTTTGCCAAAATGTTTAACTATTTCCTTCACAAAAGAATCCACGAAGAAACCCTTCTAGACGGGATAAAGAAACAGGAACATTCTGGCCTTCCGCACACCACGTAGTGAGGAATTGTTCACTACAAACTCAATATTTCACTTGCTTTACTCTCCGTCATGGCAGCTACTCCCGACACTGGGGAACAGTTTAGAATCAAACTGCCAGGAGTCGACAGCTCTGGTGCTTAGGGAGGGAGGGAGGGAGGGAAGGCGGGAGAGAGAAGAAGATAGCGAGCGAGCTACGGAGGAAGGAACGTGGCGGCACAACAGGTAGCTCTGTCAAACTCCAGGGGTCTGCCTGGTTGATCCCCGCCTCGCATTAGAACAGAGAGCCGACACACAGGCAGTGTAGGCAGAGGAGAGGATTCGGGGGAAGGAGGCAGAGGGAGGAGGCGAGAAAACAAAAGAGGAAGGGCAAAGCGAGCCTCCTAAAAGCCCTTCCGCTGACGGGTTCGGTGTAGCCGAGATACATTTCAGGGAGTGCTGCTGGTAAAACAAAGCTTTCGCCAGAGGAAGGTTGGGCGGATGGAAGGCCAAGTAATTGGAAGCTGCGGCATGACAGGCTGCTGGGTTAATCCCCCCTGACCCACTGACTCACTGGAAGGGCTGTTTCTGGAAGTAACTGGAACTGCCGGGTGAGCTCGGGGAGACGCCGCCCCCACACTAAAAAAAAAAAAAAAAAAAGAAAAGAAAGTCTCTGCGGGTGTGAGGAGGATAAATACACAGCAATCCTCCCGCCTCCTCCAAATACGTATGGAACCATGGCGAGGTACACGATCGTGGCGATGGTGGGAGTGTGCTCCACATTAGAGTTTTGCAGAGCGAGAGGCCGTCAAACACCAGAGTGTTAATGTCTGCAACGACGTAATCTAAAGCCCCAGCGAGCACGCACGGACCACCACCACCACGTGGGCACAGAAGAAATAACAATGAAAAAATCCCCACACATGCAGAGAGAAAGAAAATGGCCTTCCCGTCAAAGAGGGGTCAGAGGGACGAGGCCAGACGCGAGCGTCAGACTCAAAGGAAACTCTTTTCCACCATCTACAAACAATGACAGCAGTGTGCGCTTAACAGCGAGGAGGTTTTCACAATAAAAGCTGAAGGTAAGACACAAGCGAGTCTTTCACCGCCGCTTGTTTTTGCCGCGCTGTGAAAAAAGGACATACCAGACGGGGGAAATGGGTGGAAAAAAAGCTATAAATTATTGAACGTCCGACTAACCAAACCCCCTAATAAAATAAAGGGACCCCCCCCCCCTCCGCTCCCCAAAATGCTGTGTCTAGACACAACATTGTATTACTAACGCTTGACTTGTCGATGCACCAGCACTCAAGAATTTGCATATTTGTTCAGCTACATGAACTCTGTGATCAAAGTGGCAGGCGAGCATGTTCCGTGTGTTTAAGTGAGCACTTCGGACACGTCTCAATTACTGTAAGTCAAAATGGTTTGGGGGCATTTTTGTTCCGTTTGTAAAAGTACCTTTGCTCATATGGTACATCGATACAATCTAAGTATACTATTATTATTTTAATACCTTTGAAGTTTCCAATGAATGAGGAGGTGAAGTACATCACATTATTGAACTGCCTGACAGTGTAAAAGGTACCACACGTTTTACGACACATGCAAATTCTCTCTAGTAATAATTTGTTTTGTTTTTTTAAACATGAAGTTTAATAAACCTCTTGATCACACGTCTGCCATTTGACGAGTGACAAAGTGTTGACTTTGGGACGAGGTGCCTGCAGCAGTGTGAAGGTGAATGCATCCTCCAGTACGTATTGATGACAAATTCAAAATCTGCAAAGAAAACACTATCAATATTAAACAACTTTCCAAACCGGTTCATCGGTGAAGATTCCGACATCGACCGCGCCTCGGAGACGTCTCTGTATCACAGGGCTTCCTAAAGGAGACAAAGAAAACGAGGGGTTTGCGGTTATGGTGAGGGTGGGGGGGTAATGACACGCCATTACATTTTTAATGCTCTCAAACCCCCCCCCCTCTTTAGTAAGATACTCAATTATTGATGCATTTATTACGGCCCGGTCCAAAGAGCTGCAGAGTTAGACCAGCTGTGACAAAAACGACAAAATCACAGTCAACATTCAATCTTTTTCTATCCGTCGTCCTTCTCGGCTGTCACACGCACATTCGGGTGCAAGCAATAACATTTGAATGTCAGAAAATAATTCTTGCAGTAATATTTTCTAATATCAGAGTCACTGAAAAGGCCATGAATGGCCACGAGGGGGGGGAATGAAATGACTTACTGCTTTTCACTCGTGACAGTTCATAATTCCATTTTCAATATCATTTCCGTTAAAGGTTTAAGGTCGCTCTTAACGTACATCTCATATACATCTTTTGAAACCACGTTTTCCCTCGTCCTTCAGCGCGAGACAGGTGACAGCTAAAGTGAAATCTCTTTTATTACTTCCCCCGCCATCATCGCGAACGAGCTGTAATCACACATCCCCTGAAGAGGGCATCGGACGAACGGCTTCATGGGGAACGATGCCTCGAATGCCGCACCTGGGCTCCTGCCGCCTTGTGAGGAAACCCATTTCACCTCTTCCCCAGATGGTACCCCAGGTTCTCATGCAGCAGAGTTCTGCGGTTGGCAACGCCAAGCACAACAACTTCCACTCGTTGGTAGAGCAAACACAGAAGCTCCCAAAGGAGCCGCGTGGTTGAATTACTAAGCAGGAATTCCATCTCAAAATCAAACATCTCCAGGTGGACGCACGACTCTCCGATCCACAAGATACAGTAATTAGCAGCTGTTTTGAAAAAGCCCAGTTTCCCTTAACATGGTTCAATATAATTACTGGCTACACGGTTCCAGTTGGATTGTAATTGGAAGCGGAGTGGCTCTATTCCGGCTGCCTCATGTCAGTGGATACGCCACTTGTAATGTATGGCGTTCCACCCACTCACTTCGAGACCACACCATGGGCTCCATGTCGAGCTGGTGTTCCACATCGCTCGGGGGATGCTGAATTGCCAATTTGCAGCATTAAATTCAAACAAACTGCCCGTGCATTTCCTTCCATTTCCCCGGCTTTCTGTGAATTATATTAATTGATCTGTTAGCGTTTTAATGCTTACGTCGAAAAGCAGTTTTTTTCTGCAGAATAACGACCTGAATATCTCCAAAATCTCCAACTCTACCAACTCACAAGCCGCTGCAGTCAACAGCGGGGGTTCACAGCTGGCAGAGGAGAGAGAAACATGAATGGGAGGCTCAGACACACATGCCCTCAAGACGAGTGATCTTTCACTGGCTACTGACACTTGCCAATTACAAACCACCCACATCCCACTTGTTTTTTCAGAGTAATTAGTCAGGCCCAGTGCGTACTCCAGGAGGGTCTCGGGGGACGAAAGAAATCAGCCACAGGTCAGCCGGCTGGGTGGAGGGTTTAGTGGGGGCCCTGTCCATTCAACTCTGCGTTGGAAATGTGTAGGCTGCATTGAAGTGGAGTAATGGAGTGAAGGTTAGGCACACTTAACGTCAAGGCTCACCCCCCCACGCCCGCCTCCCGCCTCCCGATCATCATCGGCCAAGAACCATAAAGGGAAAACAAGACATAAACAACCACTCGGAGGGCTTTTCTTTTCTTTTACATCCTGCTGGTACACCGTTGATGGCGGATTCAACACGGCAAAGAGGGGAGGGTAAAAGATCCGCGTTCACAGCTTAACTTCATTCTGCGCAATAGATGGGAAATAATTCTGACACATTTTAATAGGTGGGAAAACTCTGCTCTGGACCGTATGGCTTTCTGCTAAGGAGAGCAAAAGTAAAGGTGTGACCCAGCGAGGCTGTTATCACTGGTGAAAATGAGCAATGGGGACTGAAAATAGTTGCCCAGATTGAAGCCCTGCGCAGTTAAATAAATTTGGGACGTCCGTGCCGTATGACAAAGGAGGTTAACAATATAATAACAATAATTTAATTATTATACCTTTTGATGCTGATGAAAATCCACATGGATTGAATAACCTCGGGTCTTCATGTAGCTAACCCTTGTCCCATTTAGCATTCATTTATCAATCTTTTCAACAATCATTGTAGAAGGTGTCGAAGTCATAATGAGGATGTTTTATGAAGGAACAGTGTGTAACCATTTTGGGGCAGTACATAAATTAATTAAATCAGTTTTCTTTTGGGCTCGGATTCATTGTGAAGTGGGCTGGGGGCAAAGGCCGTGACTCAGACAGGTAGGCAAGACACAAATGGTCGAGGGGCTTTGGGTAACAAAATCTAATCGTTTTTTAGGGTTAATATGTGGAAAAGGATATATTAATAGAACAATGGAAAACAACAATTTGACCCAAACCAAACGGGCTGGACATAAAACAATGGTGAGAAGATTTAAATCGGTTGAAGCACATTATAATTGATAATATGAATCATCCAGTCCGAAAGGAATAAACATGAGAGTTGATCTACAAACCATTTTTGTAGATGCCAAAGAATGACCATCCTTTTTTAACTGTGTGTTTTTTTGGTTGAATATGATAATGTTAACTGCAGGTTGAATGAGGGATATTGGCTTGTTGTACTGGGAGATGGAGATTCAACCTTTTTGACCACTGGTGGGCTAGAAGGACATTTTGTAATTTCCAGAGAGTGTTCTGGCAGATGACTTTATTCTAAAATATTTTGTTTGGATTCATAACCCACAAGACTAAATGATTGAAAGGACAAGGACATCGGAGACACCCACAGATGCCGCTCTGACGAAGGAAGGCCAGCTGAAAACCAAATGACATTCACGGATTTTGGACATGGACTTAACCGAAAATAACTTCTTGAGACGTTGCCATGGCAGGAAAGTGGAACAGCAAACGCAGAGGACAGTAGGAGTAGTTGTGTGACTTGCCTGTGCTGCCGCGGCATGATAAATACCTGGTGGGGAAAAACCCAGAGGAATTGTGGGACACCGATGGGAGCTTAGTTTCAGCTCGGCAGGAGGCGCTTACATCCCCCGTTTGTCCCTCTTGACCCCCAATTCAACATATTTACAGCATTTAGACACAGCAGATGGTTGGGGTTGTTATTGTACAGAGCAGGTCAGGAAAGAAAAAAAAAAAATCACAATGAGCAAGACAACATTTTCAAATCAACAGGCTGTTATTTCGTTTTCAGTGCAGGATACATGCTGAAGCCCTTTCAGTTTGTTCCTTCCTATGTTAAGTTCACGCTCAGTCGTTGTCTACTTTCAAGGTTTCGCTAGGAAACCTCAGCGGCTTGCATGTGGGAGACGGAGAAAGACACATTAGCAATGTTTGTGAACAATTCATAGTCACCCACCAAAGAGCGCCGTGTCCAGTAATTGTTGTTTAATTGGAAGTGAAATGTTGTTTTCTGGTTTGACAGTTTACAATGGACTCTGAGGGAGGTGACTCCACTGGTCCCTCCATGCACACATCTAATGAAAAACTCACTTAACTGATTGCTGTTTTCTGAAAATATGTTGGACAATGGTAATTGTCCCTAGCGCGTAATAAAGTATTTATTCATGAGTTGAAAACCAAAATGCTATTTACTAGATTTCAAGGTTTTATGTGCCTTTTTTTGCAGGTGCAAACTCAAACGGAACAGTGGGAGGAGAGGACATGAACACCATGTGAGCTTAAAAGCGAGCCCGATACGCTTCTGAAAGAAAAGAAGCACTAATTGTGTTTTCGGGGCTCTTCTTGACAGAACAAAAAGGCGTCTCCTCAGATGTCCATTACCGGCTGTTAAAGACTCGCCCTCGCGTAGAGTCTCTCTGCTCAAGGCCACTGAAACAAAACGAGCAGGCATCAAAAACACCCCCCCCCCCCCTCCCCCAAAATAAAAAACGGTCAAGTATCTCTCTCCCACTCTCTTCCCTCAGCTAGTGCACTCCACCCTCTTTTATCTCCCCCTCCATCTCTCCCCCTCCCGCCCTGCTCGATCAAGGCGGCGAGACCCCCTGGGAGGCTCTGATCTCCAGTGCACATCCTGAAGAATTAATGACTTCTAATGTACCAGTTAATGCAGAAAAGGCGGAACATCCATCATAACTGACAATTTAATGGCGCTTTCATAGATTGGACACTCACATCTCGCCCATTCTCCTTCACCGTTTGTCCCTTCCCCTGTCTTGATAGCAGACAAGACACACATTCTCGTTGGATTCCAGGCTCTGATTACCCCCCGCGGGCACAAACAACAGCAAGCAGCAGCATTCTGTCCTTGTTCAGGAGTAAAAAGGTTCCTCGGAATGTCTTTTTTTCGGTTGCATTTGAGCATTAAATGCTAACCAGGAACCGTTCATGATAAAGTACACAGGATCTATGGTAGTTATTGGCGCGTGAACAGGGAACAAATCAGGAACTGACTGAAATTATAAATGACAATACAAGTTATTTGATGTTACATGACTGAACCAAAGTGATTTGTTCCTACATATGTAAATCATGTCGTTCACTTTCTTGATGAATTTTCTGCAATTAAATTGCAAAGCAGCTGCTTAATAGCCCACAACGATTAATTAATGATTCCTTTCCTACACATTAGTTACTATTTTAATTTCCCCTTTTCCAAAGCAATGCTTCATAACTTATTGATGACCTCACTAGTATGTTAAAAGGAAAAAAAAATGCTAATTTTTCTAAGATTAAGAAAAATTAAGATCTAAGTAATTCTAAGATAAAGAAATGAGTCTAATCTAAAAAATGTGTTTGTCACCATTTTTATTTTCTTTTTATAGTTTGTTTTGGTTTTCATTGCATATAAATAAAAATAAAATAAAAACATATTAATCAGCAGTTAATCCTTGGTAGGGTTTCTCTTATCTTGGTAATTGCACAGGGTAGTGTGCGCCTTATTGATGATAAATGTTACCCAACTCTCTCTCACGGAGGATG